GCCCCAGCATCTGTTGTGTCCTTGAATGACCGCAGCATCTGTTGTGTCCTTAAATATCCCGAGCATTTGTTGTGTCCTTGAATGGCCCCAGCATCTGTTGTGTCTTTGAATGGCCCCAGCATCTGTTGTGTCCTTGAATGACCGCAGCATCTGTTGTGTCCTTGAATATCCCCAGCATCTGTTATGTCCTTGAATGGCCCCCAGCATCTGTTGTCCTTGAATGGCCCCCAGCATCTGTTGTGTCCTTGAATGCCTCCAGCATCTGTTGTGTCTTTGAATGGCCCCAGCATCTGTTGTGTCTTTGAATGGCCCCAGCATCTGTTGTGTCCTTGAATGGCCCCAGCATCTGTTGTGTCTCTGAATGGCCCCTAGCATCTGTTGTGTCCTTGAATGGCCCACAGCATGTTGTGTCCTTGAATGGCCCCCAGCATCTGTTGTGTCCTTGAATGGTCCCAGCATCTGTTGTGTCCTTGAATGGCCCCCCAGCATCTGTTGTGTCCTTGAATGGCCCCAGCATCTGTTATGTCCTTGAATGGCCCCCAGCAACTGTTGTGTCCTTGAATGGCCCCAGCATCTGTTGTGTCCTTGAATGGTCCCAGCATCTGATGTGTCCTTGAATGGCCCCAGCATCTGTTATGTCCTTGAATGGCCCAGCATCTGTTATGTCCTTGAATGGTCCCAGCATCTGTTGTGTCCTTGAATGGCCCCCAGCATCTGTTGTGTCTTTGAATGGCCCTCAGCATCTGTTGTGTCCTTGAATGGCCCCAGCATCTGTTGTGTCTTTGAATGTCCCCAGCATCTGTTGTGTCCTTGAATGTCCCCAGCATCTGTTGTGTCCTTGAATGTCCCCAGCATCTGTTGTGTCCTTGAATGGCCCCAGCATCTGTTGTGTCCTTGAATGTCCCCAGCATCTGTTGTGTCCTTGAACGTCCCCAGCATCTGTTGTGTCCTTGAATGGCCCCAGCATCTGTTGTGTCCTTGAATGGCCCCAGCATCTGTTGTGTCTTTGAATGGCTCCAGCATCTGCTGTGTTCTTGAATGGCCCCGGCATCTGTTGTATCCTTGAATGGCCCCAGCATCTGTTGTTTTTTAATGGTCCCAGCATCTGTTGTGTCCTTGAACGGCCCTAGCATCTGTTGTGTCCTTAAATGGCCCCAGCATCTGTTGTGTCTTTGAATAGCCCCAGCATCTGTTGTGTCCTTGAATGGTCTTAGCAACTGTTGTGTCCTTGAATGGTCCCAGCATCTGTTGTGTCCTTGAATGGTCCCAGCATCTGTTGTATCCTTGAATGGCCCTGACATCTGTTGTGTTTTTCAATGGTCCCCAGTCTGTTGTGCCCTTGAATAGCCCCAGCATCTGTTGTCCTTGAATGGTCCTAGCATCTGTTGTGTCCTACAATGGCCCCAGAATCTGTTGTGTCCTACAATGGCCCCAGCATCTGTTGTGTCCTACAATGGCCCCAGCATCTGTTGTGTCCTACAATGGCCCCAGCATCTGCTGTGTCCTTAAATGGCCCTAGCATCTGTTGTGTCTTTGAATAGCCCCAGTATCTATTGTGTCCTTGAATGGCCCCATCATCTGTTGTGTCCTTGAATGGCCCCCAGCATCTGTTGTGTCCTTGAACGGACCCCAGCATCTGTTGTGTCCTTGAATGGCCCTGACATCTGTTGTGTCTTTCAATGGTCCCCAGAGCCTGTTGTGTCCTTGAATGGCCCCAGCATCTGCTGTCCTTGAATGGTCCCAGCATCTGTTGTGTCCTACAATGGCCCATGCATTTGTTGTCCTACAATGGCCCCAGCATGTTGTGTCCTACAATGGCCCCAGCATGTTGTGTCCTACAATGGCCCTAGCATCTGTTGTGTCTTCGAATGGCCCCAGCATCTGTTGTGTCCTTGAATAGCCCCCAGCATCTGTTGTGTTCTTGAATAGCCCCCAGCATCTGTTGTCCTTGAATGGCCCCAGCATCTGTTGTGTCCTTGAAAGGCCCCCAGCATCTGTTGTGTCCTTGAATGGCCCCAGTATCTGTTGTGTCCTTGAATGGCACGAGCATCTGTTGTGTCCTTGAATGGCCCCAGCATCTGTTGTCTCCTTCAATGGCCCCAGCATCTGTTGTGTCCTTGAAAGGCCCCCAGCATCTGTTGTGTCCTTCAATGGCCCCAGCATCTGTTGTGTCCTTGCATCTGTTGTGTCCTTGAATGGCCCCAACATCTGTTGTGCCCTTGAATGGCCCCAGCATCTGTTGTGTCCTTGAATGGCCCCAGCATCTGTTGTGTCCTTGAATGGTCACAGCATCTGTTGTGTCCTTGAATGGCCACAGCATCTGTTGTGTCCTTGAATGGCCACAGCATCTGTTGTGTCCTTGAATGGCCACAGCATCTGTTGTGTCCTTGAATGGCCACAGCATCTGTTGTGTCCTTGAATGGCCACAGCATCTGTTGTGTCCTTGAATGGCCACAGCATCTGTTGTGTCCTTGAATGGTCACAGCATCTGTTGTGTCCTTGAATGGTCACAGCATCTGTTGTGTCCTTGAATGGCCACAGCATCTGTTGTGTCCTTGAATGGCCACAGCATCTGTTGTGTCCTTGAATGGCCACAGCATCTGTTGTGTCCTTGAATGGCCACAGCATCTGTTGTGTCCTTGAATGGCCACAGCATCTGTTGTGTCCTTGAATGGCCACAGCATCTGTTGTGTCCTTGAATGGCCACAGCATCTGTTGTGTCCTTGAATGGCCACAGCATCTGTTGTGTCCTTGAATGGCCACAGCATCTGTTGTGTCCTTGAATGGCCACAGCATCTGTTGTGTCCTTGAATGGCCACAGCATCTGTTGTGTCCTTGAATGGCCACAGCATCTGTTGTGTCCTTGAATGGCCACAGCATCTGTTGTGTCCTTGAATGGCCCCAGCATCTGTTGTGTCCTTGAATGGCCACAGCATCTGTTGTGTCCTTGAATGGCAGCATCTGTTGTGTCCTTGAAGCATCTGTTGTGTCGTTGAATGGCCCCAGCATCTGTTGTGTCCTTGAATGGTAACAGCATTTGTTGTGTCCTTGAATGGCCCCAGCATCTGTTGTGTCCTTGAATGGCCCCAGCATCTGTTGTGTCGTTGAATGGCCCCAGCATCTGTTGTGTCCTTGAATGGTAACAGCATTTGTTGTGTCCTTGAATGGCCCCAGCATCTGTTGTGTCCTTGAATGGCCCCAGCATCTGTTGTGTCCTTGAATGGCCCTAGCATCTGTTGTGTCCTTGAATGGCCCCAGCATCTGTTGTGTCCTTCAATGGCCCAACCATCTATTGTGTCCTTGAATAGCACAAATAGATGTTGACATTCATAGATGCATTTCATAGCCTCGACCTCAGATGTTTTCAACATTCACTGCCATTTCTGTAAATGTTGAAAACATCCATGGTCAAGGCTGATGATAAAAGCAACATGAAAAAAGACTTGTAAACAAAGAATAAGGTAAGGTAATTATTATGATAGTGTTAAGTCAGTGTGGCTATATACCACTTAGAAGAAATATGAGGAAAAGAAATAGGGTTAGAAGAGGAGGAAAGGAACGGTGCCCATTCACTTGGGCCACCAAGGATCAAAAGCTGGCCTGCATGAAGTGAGGTCATCCTTGCATAGTCAACTGTTTAAATGTTGTTGTTAATGATATTGCCTGAATTGGCTGGAAGCAACAAGTCTTTGACTGGTACAACATATTGGTGGAATTTAAGCTTTGATACCCCACTGTGAAGCGTTCAATTGGCTTGCACCAAATATGACAGTAAAGCTATTAAATGATACACAATGGGAAACAGTATTAATGCTTTGAAATTTCTTTACTTCTAGTAAGGCAACATATTTGAGGCCTTAAATGATACCTGATAATATTTCCCTTACAGGATCATCGGACAATTGCTCAGAGGCTGAAGCATGCAGACTTCCACATAACATTTGAAGTTCCAGGTTTATCATTTCCTCATTTGGCATGATGCTCCGAGATTATTATAGCCTTTCTAGCAACATAAATTAAGAAGACATTTTATATACATAATACAATAGCTGAAACAATCAACTTTTTGTAAACTCTACAAGCAAAGTAAGTTTGTGAGAGAAGTAATGCCCAGGAATGTGTCGAGGCTGTGGGTATGTCAGCAGGAAGAGTACCACAGCTAATTAACAATCATCACATTATAACATGAAGCTTAACATGTTATAAATGTTCCTCAATAGAAACAGCAGTAATACATACAATGTTAGATTAAAAAAAATAAAAAACTGTGTTATTGGCAAGAAATTAAACCCACACAACAATCTTTATAAAATAAAATAAATGTGTATCTTGAAATTTTGTTTTGTAAATATACAAATATATATAAAGTGGTGTGTGCAAGCCTAAGGGCTCACCAAGGGCACCAGATACCCTTGCACGAGCCAAGCTCTCATGTTGCCAGAGCAAATTAATTACATTTTTGTAAATACATTCACGGAATATAACTTTTTTGTTTAACTTAGTCTCGTAGGCTTAGATTGTTATACATTAAACCCAGAAATTATTATGAAGGCATGACATGCCTCCCTTGCCCGCCTGAAGGTGAGGGCCCCTCGTGAGTGTGTGGTACTCTCTCACTGACACAATTATGACCTTTAACATCACAACTGTGAACCATCGCCAGCTACCAATTTAAATGTCATTCCTGAGGTAGTTCACTTGCCTGTGGCGCCGCTTCTCACCTCTGCTACCATTACCACTCACTACCACCCTTCGCTACCCACATACCCCCATACCAATACCCACGCCCACTACCTCTGCCCCCAGAAAAAAAAGCCCTTGGGTTGTTGGGTCGGCATTTCCCAACACCATGAGAGCTGTGATGTCTGGCAAACAGCATTTTTACTCTCGCCACTTCACTCGTGTTTAGCTAATTTCTACCCCCCGGTAGCTCTCCCCTCCCTCTCACCACCGCCATTACACCGACACGCACTTAACGGTTCAACCAACTACACACTTACGGTGGATAATGGCCTCTAGATGTATAAAATTAATCAAAATGTTATTTCTCCTCTTGCTCTCGCCATTATTTGCCTCACCTCCCCACTGTCCGAGAGCAAAACTGCAGTCTTTTAAAAGCTTGTTTACATTTTCAATACCTCACCATTTCGGCCCATTAGCATCTCTAGCTAGTAATTACACCATATCACACACTCAAAAGTGCCATAGAATTTTGTTTATCGACGATTTTTGAGCCATAGATGTAACAAAAGTGATCCCACTTAATTTCCTTGCCATATTAAATATTATTGGAACGTGGTAGGGAATGCTACCCAGAAGCCTCAAGACTCAGGGGCGGCCGGTTCAAACTCACCATCATATATTTCCTCTTTACATCACCATACTTTACTCTTCTACGTTTACAGTTATGTTTATCAAGTAAGAAGTTATTCTTGTTGGTGGTTACACTTGTAAATTCAACATGGCTATTCGAAATATTTTAATATCTCTTAAATTCGAATCTTAAAGCCACGACAACAATTATACGTCAGGCATTATGATAACATTTCATATGGCTATTAGAACAGTGGGCCAAGCACGACACCCACAAGTCCCACGGGTCCCACAAGGACCAAAATTTAAATGTAAATTTTGGATGTAAACACTATTTTGGTGATGGGGGATAAGGGAGTTCCTCCGCCCCTTTCTCGCACTTATTTCTGCATTGGCAGTGTTTTACTTTGTAAGGCTGAATTTATTTTTAATAAACAATGTTACGTTGATTTTACTATAATAATAATAATAATAATAATAATAATAATAATAATAATAATAATAATAATAATAATAATTTATTTAGGAACAGTACATACATAGTTGCAGTGTTACAGTACAAACATTCTGTTTGATTTAAAGATAGCAGTAGTACATACAATACCTAAAGCCACTAGTACGCATAGCGTTTCGGGCAAGGTGAGGTGGGAAAAAAAAGCACTAGATTGCTCACGGTGAGATGATGTAGGCTTTCCTACATCATAGGATGGGATGGGACGAAGTCCTATAGTGATGAGGATTATTTCTGGGTATTTGCTTATTCAAAGAAGCAAAAGGCAACATGGAAAGTCATCTCTAACATCCTATAGGAACTAAACAGCATTCACATAACCAGATAAAACTCTCAAAGGATGGTTATACTCCTGCAACTGATTTTGAGACAACAACTGAGTTTAATAGTACCCTCATCTATTCAGACCCCAACCCACATACACTAAATAATGTTGTGAATAATGAATTAAAAAAAGTTCACTTATGGATGTCAACTAACAAACTAACACTAAACATAGAAAAGACTTACTACATCTTATTTGGAAGCAAATCATCGAATGCAATTCAGCTACAGCTAGACAGACAACATTAACATCAGTAATAAAAATGATGAAAAGTTTCTTAGCCTATTCCTAGACAAGAGACTCAACTTCAGCACCCACATTCAACACATAACTAAGAAAGTCTCTAAGACAGTTGGTATACTCTCTAAAATAAGATATTATGTTCCTAACTCTGCTTTCCTCTCACTATATTATGCACTAATCTACCCCGATCTTAATTATGGTATCTGTGCATGGGGGTCTACCACTGCAAACCACCTTAAGCCCATCATCACCCAGCAAAAATCTGCTATCAGAATAATAACAAACTCTGCTTTCAGACAACACTCAGCCCCCCTTGTTTAACTCCCTAAACATGCTAAACATAATCTCACTCCACAAATTCGCTTGTGTCAACTACTTTACAAAACCCTGTTCTTGAATGCAAACCATGCTCTGAAACTCTCCCTGGACAGATGTAATAGGACCCATTATCACCACATCAGAAATAAATATCTCTTTGATATCCCCAGAGTCAAACTTAATCTGTGTAAACACTATGCAAATTAAGGGACCCAGTCTATGGAACTCACTCCCTAGTGAATTGAAAAGCTGTCAAACTTTTGCCTCATTTAAAAACAAAAACAAAAAGTACCTAATTTCATCTTCGTAGTTTCCTACACTGAGCTTTAAATTTGCTCTGTATCTAGTGTTATCCAATCTCCCAACCTTTATGTACTTAACCCAAACAACTTTATCATTGTGTTCATTGCTGTCTTTTATGTGCTAGCCATATGGTGTATTGTGCCTACTAATTTTTGTTAAACTACCATTCAAGCTGTCATTGTAATCATTCTGAGCTACCTATGTGCTTTAATATACCTACAATTTTTCTCTCATCTTTTAATTTTTTCATGCTATGTAACTGTTATCATTTTTATAAATTTTGCTAGTATTTACATACTTATAAGTTTCTTAGATTAAGGACCTGCCCGAAACGCTGCGCGTACTAGTGGCTTTACAAGAATGTAATTACTATACTATGTATCCTCACAATCCCAATGTACCTTCCTGTATATATATAGATAAATAAAAATAAATAAATCAATAGCTTCTTTTCATCGGTTGGTGCTAACCTTGCCAGAAAAATCCCACAGACTCAGACACATGTTAACACATATCTCTCAGGCAGCTACCCAAACTCTCTTCTCTTTCCCGACAGCCCGACAGATGTTGTGTCCATCATACACTCACTATAAACCAAAACTGGGAACATTAGTGAAATACCATCTATGGTATACACAAGTGTCTCCCATGCCCTTGCGCCACCCATAACTCTGCTGTTCAACAAATCTCTAGAATGTAATACCTTCCTTAATATTCTTAAAAACGCAATAGTAACGCCAGTTCATAAAGGAGGTAATCCGGCAGACATAAACAATTATAAACCAATATCAAACCTACCCATTGTATCAAAAATATTTGAAAAAATTATTTACAAACAGCTCTACTTCTACCTCGTAAAATTCGACATATTTAATCACCTACACAAACACACACATCAATAATCTTTTGTGTCATAAGTGATCAACAAGAGGCTCACAACAGTCACTATACAAGGCACTTTACATCTATGGTGAGTCACACAGTTACTAGTCTTGCTGCACACCCACCCAACTGGGCGGCAGTTTTACAGTCATGTGCTCCACACCCACCCAACTGGGCGGCAGCTTTACAGTCATGTGCTCCACACCCACTCAACTGGGCGGCAGCTTTACAGTCATGTGCTCCACACCCACCCAACTGGGTGGCAGTTTTACAGTCATGTGCTCCACACCCACCCAACTGGGCGGCAGCTTTACAGTCATGTGCTCCACACCCACCCAACTGGGCGGCAGCTTTACAGTCATGTGCTCCACACCCACCCAACTGGGCGGCAGCTTTACAGTTATGTGCTCCACACCCACCCAACTGGGCGGCAGCTTTACAGTCATGTGCTCCACACCCACCCAACTGGGCGGCAGCTTTACAGTCATGTGCTCCACACCCACCCAACTGGGCGGCAGCTTTACAGTCATGTGCATGCATTACCTACAATAAGCAAATTTTGGATACTTCGCTAAGATTTCGGGCAGCACATCATTATGAATGAAGTACTTACACATTTCTTGGACACTATTGATGGTGTTATCTCTAAATTCCGCGATTTTTCACGTTCCATTATATAATGACGCAAAGTATGCGAATAGTTCTGCTGACAGAGTTTACATTTAGTCAAATCTACATCAGCAGATGTTACAAACTCCCAGAGGTACTTGTAGCCGAGCCTAAGCCTAGCAGTGGTAACATCTAGAAGTCTGCTAACATTATTGGATGACCCATAGACGTGCGGTACTTCCTGAATAATAGAATGATGATAGATGGAGTAACTGGTGTGAATTTCACTTTGCCTCAAGTCTACGAGATTTAGTTGACTGGGATATTACTGCCCTCAGGCTGCTCAAAGGCAGTTCAAGATGGTAATCAATTCCCTCTTTACGAGCAAAAGTCTTGGCCAACTCATCAGTTCTATCATGCATTCAGAGACCAATATGGGAAGGAATCCACAGGAGACAAACTCTGACTCCATCATTGATTATTTCATTATATCTGTGTCTAGCTTCAGAGATAAGCACGTCACAGTTATGCCTTGAGGAGCTAAGGGCAGTCAAGGATGACAAGGAGTCACTTACAATTAGCGTGTCAACTTTGGATTCATGTACGCGCTCGAGTGCAAGGATTATGGCAACCAATTCTGTTTGAAGAGTGGAGGCCTAGTTACTTAGATGCGCTCCACACTGGTTGCTGGACTGGTCAACCAGGCTGTTGGACGCGGCTGCTCGGAGTCTGACGTACGAATCACAATCACCTCCAAAGGATACCTGATCAACCAGGTTACCAGGTTGATCAGGTATCCTTTGGAGGTGCTTATCCAGTTCTCTCTTGAACACTGTGAGGAGTCGGCCAGTAATGCCCCTTATGTGTACTGGAAGCGTGTTGAACAGTCTCGGGCCTCTGATGTTGATAGAGTTCTCTCTCAGAGTACCTGTTGCATTTCTGCTCTTCAACGGGGGTATTCTGCACATCCTGCCATGCCTTCTGGTCTCATGTGATGTTATTTCTGTGTGCAGGTTTGGGACCAGCCCCTCTAATATTTTCCTCGTGTAAATTATTATGTATTTCTCCCGCCTGCGCTCAAGAGAATACAGATTTAGGCTCTTTAGTCGATCCCAGTAGTTTAGATGTTTTACTGAGTGGATTGTAGCAGTAAAGGATCTGTGGCGAGTTAATCTTATACATATTTATTTATTTATTTATTTATTTATTTATATATATACAAGAAGGTACATTGGGATTGTGAGGATACATAATATGGTAATTACAATCTTGTAAAGCCTAGTACTAGTACGCGCTGCGTTTCGGGCAGGTCCTTAATCTAAGAAAATTTAAGTAGGTAAATACTTGCAAAATTTCTAAAAAATGATAACAATTACAAGACAAGAAAAAAAAAGATGAGAGAAAATTTTAGGTATATTAAGCACATAGGTAGCTCAGATTGATTGCAATGACAGCTTGAATGGTAGTTGACAAAAATTGGTAGGCACAATACAGTATATGACTAGCACATAAAAGAAGACAGCAATGAACACAATGATAAGGTTGTTTGGGTTAAGTACATAAAGGTTGGGAGATTGGGTGACA